CCAAATTGATGAAGTAAGTGAAAAAATGCATTAACTTCGTGCTCGAACTTTTGCATACGCACCTATCTGTATTTGTATATGCAAGACCTTGCTAAGGGAAAGCGATCGGAGCTCCAGAGAGGATCGACGGAAACACGAAGAAAGAACCAGGGTATTTCCAGATTGAATTAGTCTTTCTTTTCTTTCCTCAAAGCACACCTAGACGTTTTGTGTATTTCCGATTTTAACGCATGATAAGTTGCTGGTTTTCAATTTTTTGCACCTTATTTTAAAACCAAACCTCTACTGATTGTAGATTTTGTTTTGTGTTGGGGAAATTTTCCTCCATAGGACAAATAGATAATACTAGGTATGAGTTTTCTAAAATATGGCTAGCTTTATTTTTAGCATTTATATGATCGAAAAATAAACAAAATAAAATCTCAGTCTTTAACATTACTTTAGAAGATCGTGCAGTTTGAGAACTTTGGATAGCTTATATGAAAGTTGATATATTCTGGATTATTTCTATGCTTATCTCTTGGTTATTAATTATATGAATGTTGTGTATATTCTGGATTATTTTTATGCTTATCTCTTGGTTATTAATTATATGAATGTGGGATTTCTTGTTTAAATGAGCATTGAATGTTTGATAATGTCGTGTTCCCATGTTTAATGTATTTCAAATTTTGTTGGATCGGCCTACGCAATGTCATATGGTCATGTACACGAAGATATTGATATTGACACGGAGGAAGTTGAAGAAGATAATTAGATAAAACTATTGATGAACTATATAAAAGTATTAGCTATGTATGTGTGGTGATTTAGATAGCCATATACATGCTAAGTTTGCAAGTAATTAACCTGTACAAGAATCATGTTCATCGGTATTCATTTAACAGAAGACCAAAAACTAGAGATGGATATGATTACATTCATAAAAGATTCAAGAAAGATCCACAAGATTTTCGAGATATTTATTGAATGTATCCAAATGTGTTCTTGAAATTATGTCCCATATCCAGAAAATGCTTGCAGCTTTCTTTCTTATTGTCGGTCAGAGTAATGCGTATTGCCAGGTACGAAAAACTTTTGGAAGATCACATTTCAATGCCACTCAAAACTTCAATAAGGTTTTGAAGGTCCTTCAAAAATTTGCAATGGAAATGATGGCAAAACTTGGAACTACGGTGTCTACAAAAATAAGAGAATGTATCCGATTTTACCCATATTTTAAAGTACGTAATTACACTATATCTCTCCCACATTTTTTGAGAGAACATTTTAATAGTTGATTATCTTTATGGTTTCAGGATTGTATTGGAGCAATTGATGGTACACACATTCCAACAATGATAACAAGGCATGTAACAAGTAGCTATAGAAATCGTCATCGAATTATGTCACAAAATGTTTTGGCTACTTGTAACTTTGATCTACAATTTACGTATGTGTTGAGTGGGTGGGAGGGATCAACACATGATTCAAAAGTTGTCACTAATGCTTTGACTAGAAAAAATGGACTTAGAGTTCCAAATGGTATGTTTAATTATATAAAATTAATATTTTTGTTACATCACCGGTATTATTTATGGAGTATATTATTAATTTATGAGAAAAGGGTCAAATAAGGCCTTCTACTATTACGAAATAGTCACATAAGGCCATGTACTCAATAAAATGTCATATAAGTACCTCTACTTGTATAAAACAATCAAATGAGTCCTAACAGCTTATTTAACACCTCCTAATCCCGATTAATTTTAGCTTACATGTCGATTTATTTTACTTGTATTTCAACCGATCTTAGTTAAATATTCGACATATGCCGTATAATGTATTCTAAAAAGATGGTCAGAAGTACGTTGAAACCGGGATGAAGAGGTGTTAAATAGGTCATTAGGACTCATTCGATTGCTTTTTAGAAGTAGATGTACTTATATTACACTTTATTGAGTACATTGCCTTATGTGATTATTTCATAATAGTAGAAGGCTTTATTTGACCATTTTCTCTTAATTTATTATTGATACTATGATTAGTATTATTATACTGTCGTATTATTAATTCTTTTTATTAATATTGTGCATTTTGTGCAGGGATGTACTTCCTTGGCAATTGTGGTTATCCAAATAGACATGAATTTTTAACCCATTTTCGAGGTAACCGCGCTATCATGTACAAGACTTTGTTGGTCAAGGACGTAATCCAAACAATTCAAAGAAACTCTTTAATCTTCGACATGCTTCACTAAGAAATGTAGTTGAAAGAATATTTGGTATATTCAAATCAGGGTTCCTCATTTTCAAAATAGACCCTCTGTTTCCTTTTCACACACAACCTGAGATAGTGTTTGGTGGTGTTGTATTGCATAACTTTCTATGAAAAATGTTGCTTCGATGAATTTACAATTGATCCTAAAGACGAAAATGATTCATCTGATGAACTTGCTGGAGTGGAAGATGTTAATTTTTTCCCCGAAAGTCAAAAACAACCCAAGAGTTACAAGATATTAATCTTTCAACTCACCTTGAATGAACGTTAAGAAGTTCTATCCTCTTTGGTTGTCCTCCGCGAAACTCCGGCGAACTTCGATGAACTCCAGCGATACCTCCGATAACCTTTTTAACTCCGTGAGAGTACTATGAACACCTTAGACGAGTTCCTAACATGGTTTCATTGTCCCAAAACTCATATCGATACAAATTACCTCTAATAGATTAATTTTGGATGAACCGGTCACCTTGACTTTTAAGTCCATTATTGGACTTAGAAGCACCTTCCAACCCCTCATTCCACACTTCTAAACGTGTAGAACAATCTTAGAAGTCCTCCAAATGACTTATTTAGTCATATAAACTTAGTTCAAAGAAGGAAAAATGAGACCATTACCTTAATCTCCCAAGCTTTTCCTCATTTTTTCTCCTCTATCTAGACTTTCTTTCTTGGACCTTCTTTGCTTGAGATCGAATTTGGCTACGGAGGATGATATTTGCAGAGCTCTCCTTCTTTATTGGGATGGTTTTGGACGCACAAGGGATGGGGAGGAGAGTGAGGAGACTCTTTTTGTCTCAATAGGCAAATGAGTGAGGGGAGAGTTCCACCTTGGGTCAATTCTCACCCAACCATCACCCTCAAGCCACACACACACTTCAACCCTCAAGCCACACACACACCCAACCACTCATGTGGGAGGTCATCCCTTTATGTCGAGCTCAGAGTGTACACTAGGTCCCAAAAGTTGTATTTCTCAAACTATTTTAAATAAATTTCACTTTATCGGGCCAAATAAAATATATATCATTCTCCCAATTATTATGGGCCTCTAGAACGAATATATATCCCTCAACTTTGATTTAGGGGTCCTCGGAATTTATTACGAGTTATTATCTGTCAAATTATCAATAGTGGTATATGGATCTCGTTTGATCAACCGGCCAACTCTATGTCGTTTCCATGGCCCATCTGAATATGCACCATCATATAAATATTATCTAGACCAAGATGAATATAATATGCGGTTTCAAAAATATTGGGTGGTCCCCATTCCCGGTATGGCCCCACGTGCATTTTTACTATTCTCGTAAAAGAAATAACAAAAATTTAATTACAACCACGTAAATTCATAAATCATTTAACAAATTCAATACATAATTTGGTAAAAGTAGATATTCTTGGGGACGCTGTTACAGTGAGTTTGTTGGTGCGTTGCAAACGGGTGATCGTCTTTAGTGATGTTGCGAGGACCTCAGGTACCATTTCAAATACCTTGATCATTTTTATTGCATATTCTAAGTCCGATTGGATTGCGAATGATTTGTAATCAGTGTCACCGGTATATATTCTTTTTGTAAACCAACATTAAATATTACTCCCTCCGTCCCTTAAAAATTTGTCATCTTTCCTTTTTGGGACATTCCAAAAAACTTTGCCACTTACTCTTTTAATCAATTATTTTGTGATTTCTGTTATTTCTCTCTCCTCTGCACAAACCTCAACCACACAGATTTTACTTTATTATTCTCCGTGCCGGTCAAACTGGACAAAATTTTAAGGGGCGGGGGTAGTACTACGTATTAGAATTTTCTTTCAAAAGTGTAAGTGAAATTAAAATTATTTATAAAAACATATCTAATAATTACTATAGTATAAAGTCATCGTTACTTAAGTGTAAAAATCAAATACTACGTATAAATTACTATAACTAAGTTAGTACTATACTCATTACAGAGGTACACATTAGACCTCATATTGTTATAAACAATTTTTATTTCATTCATAACAGAGGTACACATTAGACCTCATATTGTTATAAACAATTAAGGTTCAAACATAACATCAACATTCCAAACATGCCAATAGACTTGAACTCTTACACTTGTAAAGCTAGTTTGATGATCTTGTTATCCGGCTTATCAGTCTTTCAGTCAAGTTTTCCACCAAACACGTAACTTTTGTTTTGTGCGTTGAATTGTGTAATAATCAAAATAAGTAAGGTTGAAGTCACTTAACTAGCTGAATTGGTTGAAGTCATTGTAAAAGATATTTTAGTTATTTTTTCTTTGTTTATTGATAAAATATATTTTAAATATAATTTTTCATAAACCAGCATAATCAGCTAATCCCGTCACTTTATCCAGAACTTCATAAATTTCAATAGAATCAGCAGATTCAGCCAATGTTATCAAACGGGCTCTTTATGAAGTTCGGGCTTTGACTGGTTTGGCTCTGGATTGACCGATTTTGCTGATTTACGAAAACTTATATTTAAAAATACATTTTATTAATTAAATAAAGAAAAAAATATATGAAAAATGCCTAAAATAGTTAGTTACAGTGATTTCAGCCAATTCAGTTAGAAAAAGTAACTTCAACCTCACTTAATTTGATTATTACACAATTAAACACGCGAAACCATATGTATTAGATGAAAAACTGACTAATGAAAATTATGATTGATAATCATCATCCTCTCCTTAATCCTCACCTATGACTAATAAAGTTAGAGTAAATTCCCCGTGAGTAAAAAAGTTTGAAATTCCAAAATAGGACTATCATGTTTTTTTGGGAAAAAGATAATTAATTAACATTAATCAAATCATTGTCAATTACAAAAGAAATAAACAACGGGGGAATAGTAAACCAAGATTGAGAATCAGACAAAGAACAGGCCGCCTTAGCAATAGCATGAGCCGCCTTGTTCGCTGACCGTCTAACGTGAGAAAAAGAGATGCTCGAGCCCTTCAGAACTTTCGAGATAACCTGGGAAGCATCAGACTCAACTTCAATAGTTCTCCAACCCGACTCGCGTAACCAACTCAATGCTTCTCTAATCCCGATTAACTCGGCTTCCAGAGCAGAAAATCTCCCATGCCTCTTGCGTGCAACTCCAGCCACAAACTTACCTTCATCATCCCTTAGGCACCACCCTAGCACGCAGAAGCCATCACGAACAGCAGCATCAACGTTCAACTTCAACATCCCTGCAGTTGGATGACACCATGATGCAGCCGCTTGTTGTCCATTCTTCCCCGCTGAACTTCCTTCCAAACGAGCAGCCTGCGCTTGGACCCAACCCATCACAAATGCCTCGGTCTTAAGCATAAATTGGCACGCCGGGGAAGACAAATTCTGTCAAACCCGACGATTTCTCTCGTTCCAAATAGCCCAGCACCCCCAAATCAGTTTCACGAGGTCATCCTTTTCTTCTCACTTGAAATTCCTTCTGAACCTGCTCCAAGAAATCATTTACACCTTGAGCAGACCAATTCCAGGACACCGCTGACCACACCTCTCTTGCCACCACATAGGACATAAAAATATGGGTCAAGGACTCCCCCAGATCACCACATAAACCGCACTGTCCTCAGCAATCCACCCCGCGCGACTGCAGATTGATTCTGGTTGGTAGACAACCGCTACAAACCTGCCGGATTTATTTTTATTTTTGGAGGAAGCTTCCAAGACCACATGGCCGTCCAACCATCCTGCTCAGCCAGGTTGAAAGCCCCAACAAGATAACGATAACAGCTTTTGACTGAAAAATGGCCATCTTCCTCCCACTTCCAACATCTCAAATCCGACATCGTGCGCAAACTAATCGGAATGGACTGTATAAGCAAAGCATCCCTATCGACAAAGATATCTCCGAGAATATCATTATCCCAAGCTCCACCCGAAATGTCAAAAAGGTTGTCCACAGTAGTGTGTTGTAATCCCTCGCACACTGGTGTTATAAGTCTGGGATTATCCTTGTCAGGTAGCCATGGTTCTTCCCGAATATTAATAGATTTCCCGTTCCCAACCCGCCACCTGTAGCCATTTCGAACCACCTCTTGGATCTGGAAAAGACTCATCCAAATAAATGAAGGGTTATGTCCAAGAGTAGCCGATAAAAAATCCCGCCTAGGGAAATAACGGGCCTTGAATACTCTACCAACAAGAGACTCCGGGTTAGTAAAAATTCTCCACGCTTGCTTGGTAAGCATTGCCAAATTAAACTCCTTCAACCTTTTAAAACCCATACCACCAAATTTTTTTGGTCTGCTTAAAAATACCCAATCCTTCCAGCGAATCCCTTTTCCCGACTTGCCCTTCCACCAAAAGCCGTTCATAAGGATTTCAAATTCTCTGCACAACTCGTCGAGTAAAAGAAAAACATTTATCACATAATTTGACATAGCTTGAATCACTGCCTTTAATAAAACCTCCCTACCCGCTTTCGAAAGAAATTTATTGTTCCAACTGTTAATGCGATTTACCACTCGCTATCTCAAACACCCCGAGATTTCTTTCTTGCCTCTCCTAATTAAAGCCGGCAACCCCAAATATATTTTTATCACTCCCCGCCAGCCCCACCCCAAGTACTTCAGTTAATCCCGCCATATACTCCACCCCAACATTTGAACTGAAGAACACTTTGGACTTATTGAAATTAATTGACCCGAAGCATCCCTGCAGTCCAATAAAATCTCTTTAACAAGTGCTGCCTCGCCACGTGTAGCCCTGAAAAAAAGAAGACTATCATCTGCAAAGAATAAATGCAAGATCATTGGCGTCCCCCGGGCCACCGAGACCCCATGAAGGCTGCCCATGGATTCATGCCTCCGAAACAGTGCACTCAAACCCTCGGCCACCAGAAGAAACAGATATGGCGAAAGAGGATCTTCTTGACGAAGACCTCTCCCCGGCCTGGGCGGTATAATATCCGAGTCATCAAAAGGAATGGAGTATGAAACCGACGTAACACACTCCATCACAAGGCGAATCCAGCGCTCCGCAAAGCCTAAATACCGCATCATGCCTTCTAGAAAAGGCCATTCCACTCTATCATACGCCTTGCTCATGTCAAGCTTAAGAGCAATAAAGCCAAACTTCCCTTGGCGTTTCCTCTTCAAAAAATGTTGGGACTCAAATGCAAGCATAATATTGTCTACAATATGTCTCCCAGAAATGAAGGCACTCTGTTCTTTCTGAAATACACAAGTGCGACCACCTCTTCAACCGATTAGCAAGAACTTTCGGGAAAAAATTGTAGATCACATTGCACAGAGCAATGGGCCTCCAATCTCCAATGACATGTGGATTATCCTTCTTGGGAATAAGCACAATATTAGTATGATTAATATTATCTGGTAAATTAATTACCAGACTCGAACGCCTCCCAATAATGCTGATAGAATCCCGGGCTGAAGCCATCAGGACCAGGTGACTTATCTGGGAACATGTCAAAAAGAGCCTCCTTCACTTCTTCACCGCGAATAGAACGAAGAAGATCCCGATTATGATAATCATCTAGCTTCCGTTCCACGCACCCGAAAACGAAATCCCCACTCCCTGATCCTGCTGTAAAAATATGGGTAAAATAGTCAGCAATTAAATTGCTAACCGCCTCCCTGTCTGACTCCCAACGTCCAACCTCCAACCGGAAACCTTCAACTTTATTTTTGCGTCGCCGGGTTTTGACTGAGTTGTGAAAGTACCATGTATTAAGGTCCCCTCCTTGAAGCCATAATTCTTTTGGCCCTCTGCTTCCAATAAATATTTTCTTGCTCAAGAAGATCTAAATACCCTCGTTTAAATCTCTGAAATCCCCCCACAGACCACTGATCAGTACGACCGTGAAGGTATTCGAGCCGCTTCCTACAAAAAGTTGACGCGTCTCCCATAGGACCTGACCTTCTTGAACCCCCAATCGCCCATGGCTTTGCCACACATCACCACCTGCCCCATAATTCCACTCTCTCGGCCAAGCCCCCAGCTTCGTGCGACAATATCACGGCATTCAACTTCCTGGAGCCAAACATTCTCAAATTTAAATTTTCGTCTCCTACGAATCCCTTGTGAAGGAATCAACTTAATATAAAGAGCCAAGTGATCACTAGGAGAGCCTTCAAGAGATTTAGCCGAGGCTTCGCCAAAGATTTCTAGCCAACTCTCTGAAACAAGTATTTTGTCCAACTTCTCTTCCACCCAGTTTGGAGAACCCTCCATCTTCCCCAAGTAAACAGATAACCTTGGAACCCAAAGTTCTGCAGCCCACATTCCCAAACAGTCTCACGAAAGCCCCGTAATAGCCAGGGTGGATGAGGGACCCTACCACGCTTCTCGAAAGCGACCATCAGATCGTTAAATCCCCCATTACCAGCCAAGGAAGCTCTTCCCCCATGCTTAAGGATTTCAAAATCTCCCTTCGCCTATGTCTGTCTGGACAGCCATAGAATCCCGTAAATCACCAGTCAGGTGCGCCAGCCTACAAAGTCACCCTAGCATCAATATAGTTGCTCGAGGAACCCAAAATCCGGATTAGAACTCCAACTCCACATATTAGAGCCATACCACCACTATGCCCAATGCTTCCCACACTAAAGCAGTGCTCCATCCCCAATTTTCGCATAACATACTCCACTTTGCAAATATTTGAAAAAGTCTCCATTAAGAAAATCATTGTCGGCCGCTTCAAGTGGACAATGTCCACCAATGCTTGAACTGTCGCAGGGTTGCCAAGACCCCGACAGTTCCAACTCAGACAACTCATGATTCTCGGCGGGTCTGGAGGCCAGAATCTGTCGCTTCCCCGTTTTTTGATTAACTGTGGTCCATGTCCTACCCTTCTTCAGAAATTCCTTCCAAAAAAAGTCCCCTTGCTTTACGTTTTTTGGCCATCACCCATTCAGCATGTGATGAGACATAAACTGCCTCCTCTGTCTCCTGTGAAGCACTTCATGCAACTGTGAGATAAGAGGTTGCCCGTGAATGAACCTCCCCTCCTGATCCACAAGCCACCTCCTACCTTTACTCACACCCCTTGTTGCTCCTGGCTCTCAACCAGCACTCGAAGAGCTTCTCCTTCCCTCTTGTAGCATATTCAAAACGTCTTGAACACATACGATCAGTATGGTCCAACAGCCCACATATGAAGCAGAAATGCGGTAATCGTTCGTTTTTCAAATCAACCCAAAGGGGTTCCTGTAACACTCCGGCCCCGCAGGTGTAACACCCTCAAATTTCCCACCCAAAAATACCTTTAAATAAAACATTATTTATTATCTTTATTTGAAAACATCAGAATTGTGCAGCGGAAATCAAAAGGGAAATAGGGTGTTACCGCCACACTCGGTTCTAACCTAACCGAGTGCACATGCTAAAAAAATTTAAACTCAAAATAGATTAAACTTCTAAAATAAATGTTCACTAATTTAAGATGCTGAAAATGTAATTACAATTATTTACTAATTTTGTGTTCTAGCGTAAGCTCTCTCGAAATCAACTTCAACGGGACCAACTCAGCACCTGTACAAAATCAAGTACAGAAACAAAAATAAAAGAAACAAACATTAGCAATAATGCTAAGTAAGTCCCACCTAACCTTTTAAAATAATATATATATATATTCGTACAACCGTTAGTATAAAAATATTTTCAAAAACACTTTATAAATCATAAGTAAACAATATCTATACAAAATCCCAATCACGTAACTCGTGAACCATAACAATTCCAAAATACATGAAACACCAAAATTTCTCCTCTATTGAATTTCTCCAAAAATCACTTTGTAACTAACTGTTAATTCCAGAATACTAACAATCATACAACCATAGCAGTGATAAAAGAAGCAGATAGAAAGAAATCGACAAGATTGAAACCAAATCTGGTATACCGTATCAAACCTGCCGCTGCTCTCCCTGAAGAAGGAGAGCAGCGGCAACCCTAATCTTTCTATCTCTACGCCTCTGCGTCTCTAAGCCTCTTTTGATCAGTTAGGGTTCCCGTAAGTTAGCCTCCTTTTATAGGAGAAGTTAGCTAACTTACGGGTTACAAGGAAGCCCACGGGGTGATACACATTTGTGGCCCGTATTACACGTTTAATTAATAACTACACAAATACAAAGATAACTAACTAGATTGAACACCATAAAATATTCCCAACAATCTCCCCCTTGGTGATCAATCGTGTTGAATCAGCATTGCAGCGCAGATATCTTTGTCTTTGTTGTTATTGAGCTTCCTTTGTCTTTGAACTTGACTTCTGAGGAAGGCTATCTGAAGAAATCCTTGCAATCTCCCCTTTGATGTCTTCTTGACAATTTGATCTTTGATGCCGGGGTTGAGGGACCTTCAGTATCTTGCATGTAGTCCTTACCTTCCAGAAGTTGCTTTTGATCAGCTTGGATGAAGTCCGGTGACGCCTCTAGAATGAATATTCTTTGGAGAATAGGAGACACCCATGGAATTCATCTTCAGGACACGAGTATTTGACCTATGTCTCCTCCACAATGTAGTCTTTTTGACTATTTGGAATGAATGCATTTGAGGAGAACTTGTCGGTGGCACAACGGAACATAATGATTGTTGATTTGTGAGTGTAGCTGACCATTTGATTTGAGTTGTAGAGATAGTAGAGAGAGTGTAGGAGGAGAGAAGTGTCCCAGAATGATTTTTTGATAGTTAACAGCATGTGGACCACTCTCCCCCTCATGACGATCCGATGATTCGGGGCGTCATGCCTTTATTCTTTTATTCTGCGGAAATAAAAACAGGGAAAACAAGCAGAATCTAAAGAAGATAACGTAGCCCCCCGGGGTCGTGAAGACGCCCGTTATCATCACTATAGAGATAAACTCTTTAGCAATGGCCTGAAAATGTTGGTGATTCTTATGTTGCAACAGCAGTACTTCCTTCCAATCATTAGTCTACATCTGCAATAGATGAGACCTATGGAAGTTCTCGCGGGTCTTTGAAGACCTGCAACTGACTCAAAAAGTGTGTCGGTGTCCTAGAAAATTCAAAACATTTGGGAGTGATGTAACTAGACACGACGTGATCAATGAAAGTTCAGTGGCATGGGGCTGGAGGCCACTGTAGTC